AAGTCCAGCATTGTTTTCTCCAACAGTCTTCTTCTGTGGCTCTTGTGTCAATATTTCTGATTACTATCTGTGGGCACCTGACCCAGTGAAGGTCGGTGAGGGGCGGTTTCAAACTTGAACGCCTCTGAGGTGTTCACAAATCTCTCTCTCTCTCTCTAACGTTACTTACATTTCTCTATTACTCAACCCTTTGTAATTATATTGACGCTATGACTCAACTTCTGCTTGCACACTGAAAAGGTTTTGTGCGTTGTCAGCAGTGCAAGTAGTTGTTCAGGTCAGGTCCATGCTAAAACATATCTTCCTTCCTCCTCATTTTTTTCCACACTAGAGCTTCCCAAAAATGTGTGCCGTTAAAATTAGTGAGACACCTTTTTATCTGTCTATTGTGTGCATGTCAAATTAACACATACAAATTCAGGGTAGCAGTTGTAACACATTACACATCAAAACAATGAAAATATTCACCTTTTATTAATGAACTCATAATAGATGTGTATTTCCTGCTGTACTCTTCCTGTCACAGATTTCCTGCTTTTTCATGTTGAAATGTTTCATGTGGGAAAAAAGGAGCACTGCATGAAACAGACTATAGTCAGTCACACAATTATACAGTACAGCAGAAAAGCAATAAAATGTGATTCTAACGCACATTCAAGGATGTGATTTGGTGTTGAGATGGTGATTGATTATTGAGTGATTATTAGTGAGAGACCAAAGGGTTAACATGTCGAATAAATACCATGTGACAGGAAGAAGAATAACAACGCCCAGTGGAGAGAGAGAGCGTCATTTCCCATCTCTATTCAAACACAGCGCGCCTTTTTTCACAACAGGTAGATCAACATCAAGGTAAGACACCCAGGTTCTCTCTGTGTATACACTGTAAGGTCTTATTAATACCTTTTATAGTCTTACTTTTGATAAGTCACTCATTATCATCTGTAGCACCACGTCTGTAGGAACTTTTATTACTTAGTAGGACTGGAATTTTGCCATTGTTTTGTTATTAATCCATAATGTGTGTTGGTTTATCACATGGATCTAACATCTTAAATTAATCAGAAAGCTGAAATGAACACATGAAGTTACATTTATTGTAGTAAGAACTTTATTGTTTCTGTTGTAGAAATTCGATATTTGTTTCCTGCCCAACGCTCATTACTGCATTCAGCCACTGCCTGAGGGAGTGGAGCAACACTACAACCCGCCAAGGTGGTGAGTCAGCTCAGTATCTCTCTGGAATCTTTTATCCAGTTGTTCTACGACCTAAATTAATTCAATGTTTTTCT